GCAGGAGTCCCCAAATCCCCTCTGTTCAGCTCCTCGCTGCCACAGGCTGCACCGGGAGCCTTTTAGGGCTCTTACCTAATCTCTGCGGTGCTATATTCTTTCTCATCCCTCTTCACAACAGTGAAGAAAAATGAGATATTTTTTTTTCCATCACAGGGATCACAACCACCTGCAAAGGCTTAAGAGCCTGCGCCAATGCCGTCTAATACGTGTCTTCTCTCTGGGGCTAGATGAGGAGGTGAGAAAACCACTGGTCAGTGAAATGCCTATCTTTATTTTCTTATAAGGCAGGATACTTAAGGATGAGCCTGGCTTTAGAGAGATGATTAATCCCATTTTAATCGATGTGATTTAAGGCAGATATGTGCTGAAGTACCTTGTTGAATGTTGGCATGGAGAGTGATACACAGATTTCGAGACAGAGATATAGAATGGATCTGTTTGTGGTGTTGGTTTTTCTTTCTCTATTGCCTTAAACAAAAAAGGATACTCAGAGGTAATAAAAAGCTGCAATCTGATTATTAAGTTGAGGGATTTATTAGACACATTTGAATCTCTAATGAGTTTGAAGAAATTTTGGTACTGTTTGAAGTGGCTCAGGTAATGTTTTTGTAATGCTTATTTCATAGAAAAATATTGGGGTTTATGATGAGCTAAAAATACTTGCACAGTGGAAATCTTGACGAACTCTCCAAATTCTGGGACAGGGTTAATGGACCGGGTAGTGCTGAGTACGCTTGAATTAAATGGAAACTCCTTCACGACCGGAGAGTCAAGAAGGGAAATATCAGGAACCTGTTGACGTAAAAACTGAAACAAAACAAAGACTCGGGACCTCAGTCTAAAAGATTTTATCTGACTTTCAGCTATTTAACAAGTAACAGCTTAAATTACAACGCAGCCTGATTTGAGCAAAAGCACTACTGTATATGTTTATCACAGATTTTATTAGCAATCAATAGCTCAGAGATATTAGGATTTTTCCACATCTGGAGGTTGGAGGTTTTTACATCTGTGTTTTGTTCCGTCCTGTGAAAGAGAGCGGATAAATTCACTGAACATCTCTACAGTTCTGTATTTTTCTGAAATGAATCAGGATTCAGTCTTGCTGGGATTGGGTTTTGTGTTTGTTTATGCATATTTTCAAGGCTTAGATAAAAGGATGCTTATTCAGTCTACCATCAACACAGCGCCGTGGTCGAAGGGGGAGGGAAGAGAACCCCCAGTATATACGAGGAATATATGAACTGAATCACATAGATGTTCTTTTATTTACCACCATCATTTATTTTCTATTTAAAGACAAATTAAATAGGAAATGAAAGAAAACATAATACAGCTCTGGTTGAGGCAGAAAATGGTAATTAAATCAGTGAACATCTGCATGACAGGATATTTTTTTTAAAAAGGAACTATTTCCTGATTGTTACCCGTTTTGATTTTTAAATAAGCGTGAGAAATCTAGGACCTCAGCAGCCACTGGTTCTGTGAAAGTGCTGGATGCCAAATTGCATTTTGTGTCTTTCTGAAAATTATCCTCTTCGTGCCCGGTATTTTTGTTGCTACCTCAGTTGAAGGAGCCCAAACTCAAGAGGATGAAGTTGCAAGATGTAGAAGTCATTGATATTCCCCGTTGTAGCAAAGACCTTCCAGTGTGTACTGACCTTGGGAAGATATTTTGCTGTGTGAGTAACTGCTGTGGGGCACATCCAGTTTTTTGTTTCCCCACAAAATTGGTTCCAATGAGCAGCGTTTGCCACCAGGTGTGATTAATGACTTGTGTCTCCCTGTACCTACGGTGGCACAACCAGGCAATACCCTGGGAGTCCCACCCTTCCCTGAAGACCTATCGTCACAAAGAGACACTTTTTCAGTGATTATGCGGCTTTTTGTGTTCTGTTTAGGTCTGAACAGATAAATGTTTATTCCTTTTATACTGATTTCATCCATACCTCGCATTGTTCTAACTCAGCTCAAAAACATATGGGTACATGGGTAGCCACGGTAAAAGTGAAGTTGAACAAAACCAGTAAAAGTAATACATACTGATAATATAATGTACAACAAAAGCATCCCAAATTCTCTGGGAGGGAATTGTTGTTTATGGAAGCTAAAATGCGCCAAATTCACTTTTTGTGTTATTATTTTGAAATACAGGATCTGTGTGTGTGTACAGGGGAGGATAGTTTTGCAAAAGGCAACTATTATCAAGGTGCTGAAATTAATTGGCTGCTTTAATTGAGGTAGATTACTAGCTAATGCTTTCTTGAATACAGTAATTCTCCTATTAAATTATCTTTGAATAATTACCTGAAATTTCTCAGCTGCAGGGACTGATGGCTATTTAATTGCACAGTGATGTTGCTATATAATTACTTAACAAGGTGTCCTTTAATAGTTTAATTCCCCTTTTCCAAGAAAAAAAAAAAAAACTGCAAGTATGACTTTTATTTTTTAAGTGCTGTGATTTTATTTATTTTTTTTACAGATAACTTTGTATCTGAAACAGTAAAAGAAAGCTATTTGTTGACTTGCTTTTAAAAGTAAGTCTTTTGATTGTTCAAGCAGAAATTTGGGCTCCGAAGAGTTTCGGAAACTAAAAAAATAGACATTCCTTTAGTTCCATTGTATTTATTTTGTGGTTTTGTTATTTGGTTTACAGTACACTCTGAAGGAAACATTAGAAGCTCAGATATGCAAAGTATTCATTGTGTGTTTGTTGAGTTCTTCGGGTAGAGAGTTGTCCAGCTTAATGGTACCTCATGTGCTGAAGCAGGACTTTAAACCTGTATTTATTCCTCCTGGCCACAGAGGGGGAGGAGATTGCTGCTGGTTCCCAGCAGAGAAAACAGCAATTTGACTAAAGATGTTAAAACAAAAGGTTGGACTGTTCAGGCATCACAAGGAAAATGGGCTGGGATCATGCTACGTGGCCTGAATTTCCTTGGTAGTTCAAGGATAGACTGTTTTTTGCTGGCAAGGGATACCCTACATTGAACAACACAAAACTTGACGGCTGTAAAGGAGCTTGTTTTTAGTGTAGTTTATATAAACATGTTAATTTACATGTTTATAGATCGTGGGACCTGTACATTACCCCAAAACATTAAGTTCTGAACTTGGAACAGAAACAGTGGTCCATCTAAATATGAGGGCTTTTATATTTCCATTTTAAAACAGAATGATATGCATAGAGAGGTCACTGATCAGTATGAGTACTGCTCACCATCTCCTCCTGGGAGCCTGCACTATTCTTCAGGGGCTTGGGACTTTGATTTTGGACACACCAGGTTCCATCCTAAATAGCCTTCAACTTATATGACAGTCTTTTACAGATGGGCAACGAGAGCAGTGCAGAAATTCTTCAGGGGCTTGGGACTTTGATTTTGGACACATCAGGTTCCATCCTAAATAACCTTCAACTTATACAGCAGTCTTTTACAGATGGGGCAACGAGAGCAGTGCAGAGCACGTACAAACCAAAATATATGGCAGTAACACAGGTTTTTGAACCTCTTTGAAGATGAGTTCTAAAGCCCCTACTTGTATTTGCCCCTTTAGGACCAGGAGAAAATGATCAATGCAGTATTATAGAAATACCCTCTGTCCAGAGTGAATTTTTTGTTAGACAAATGTACGATCCTTGATTGTACCAAGCAGTGGTACCTCTATCAGCGTTGAATAACAGAGCGTTTTTTTTAATGTCCATTGATCTTGCACGTCTGCTACGAGGTACTCACTGCCTGATTTTCAGAGGTGTTCAACTTTACGAGATGGCCAACAGCCATCAAACCAGGCACTAAAGATTGGATTTTTTTAATTAGAATAAACTGATGTAGAGCTGTTGACTGGATGGGATTTTTGTCAATTTGCATGAATAAGGCTGAAGATTGTGTGACGCTCTTGAAATATTTTCCCTAGTGCTTCAGTTGGGGAGTGACAATCCCAAGAACAGAAATGTTTTAGCCCTTGATTCTTGTCCATCCCTTTTTTCCTCTAATTTCTTAGTAGTTTATGTCAGTAAGACGATCTTTTTTTTTTTTGGCTGAGGCCTTTACCTCATTTGGTGAAAAAAAATAATAAATGAAATCTTTGCAGAGTACCTGTAGTCACTTCTAGCAGAGAAGGGTGGCTCAGGCCATATCTGGGACTGAAACTCTCCACGGAGGAGTTGCATAGAGCAAAATATTCCCATCCTAAAGCTCCCTTGGCCTCCTGGAGATGGGTGCTGTGAAGGATGGGTGGTGGGATGGACAAACAGAAAGATTAAGGGACGTACGAGTCCCCTCTCCAGAACATTTTGAAGTCTCCCAGAAGTATGTAAGCCTCTCTCTGCTTCTCGTCCTTTCTTATTCTTTTATTTTTCTCCTGTTTTCTTTCTTCTTTGCTTTGACCTCTGCTTGTTCTTCATCTCTTTCTCCCCCCATACAAACCCTCCCTTTTCATTCCCCACTCTTTCTGCTTCACTCCTCCCCTCATTCATTCTCTTCAGTGTTGCAATGGTAGTCAAAAGAAGAAAGGCACAGAATTATCTGTTACTAAATGGGTGTTGCTGATGGAAAATTAGGGAGGAGGAAAAGAAGAATTAATTATCCATAATGTAAGGGTTAAGAAATAAGATTTTCCCAACTAACACTAATATGTGAGGAAATCCTAAATTTGTGAGAAATGTGAACATTCCTTCTTCCTTCAGCAGAAGGCTCTGTAGCTGCAGTGTTAGAAAAGGAAAGAGAGGGTCAAACTTTGTTTTTATCCCCGCGTTCTGTAAGTAACCTGCAAAGAGATTTTTTTTCCCCAAGGTTGCTGAGCATCTGCTGCTCCAATTTCTCCGCTTCTTAGGAAGGAAGAGGTGTAAATGTAATTATAATCTGTTGCTTTGAGATCTTTCTGAGAAAGACATGAAACAAGTCCAAGTTGTTTTGGCGAGGAGGCAGTGTGTATCACCAGACACTGACTAGAAGCCAGTCCATTAATTTTTTGTTTTGTTTATTTTTGGAAAGGTATGAAGCTGATTTGGAGAATATGCCAAGTCATCTGGATGAGTCAGCACAGGCACCACAAAGTGAGTTTGTTTGGGATTTTTTTTAAAAACAAAATTCATGCTCCAGGTCAATTTATTGCAATGTTACGTGCAGTTACAAACCCAGAAAAGTGCTACGAACATTTTCTTAGGTTTTTATTGGAAATGTGATTCCACATCCACCTAGTGGAGGAGTAGATGGTTAAGCTGCTCTGTGTGTGTTTATCCTAAAAAATAAAAAAAGTTAGTTGCTATCTATCATTTTTTCAGCAATGTCCTTAGCCAAAAGCTGATAATATATTAACACTGGAGAAATTCTGGGCAGAAATAACCAAAACCATTTCTTCTTGTAAATACGTTTTGCAAATAGTTCTGCATTGGCCTGAAGTCTCACTGACCACTCATTAGCACAAATAAGGTTTTTGAAAATCAATTCTTTTCTGCTCTGGAGTGGAAACACATTAAACATTGTCTCAGTACGTAGGAGCAGATGCTATTTTTGAGGGCATTTTGGCTTTATGTTTATCAGTTAGGAAGAATGCGGAAAATATCCAAACAGCCTACTGTAAAAGAAAAAAGGTGAATCCAATTGCAAATTGATTTTACCTGGAGGGACACGCGAGATGATGTGCAGATGCTTAGACCTTCTGCAACCCTACACGACGCTCGGGGTTAGAGAGTGATTTTCTGAAATTTGAGAGGGGAATTAACAGACAACATAAAGTTGGCAGCAGCGGCGTTACATTCAACTTCTTTGCGTTATTTCATAAAGAGAATTAAGTAGAGGAAAAGATTGTGGTCTTCCTTCTGATGCCTTGCTGTTACAGGTGTTAGATTTGCTCAAGCACCCACTGAAATAAGCGGCGACGTTTGAGTTGTACTTGGTGGATTTTGTGTTAGGACCGTGGATCTGAGCACGAGGTTGCTCTGAACGTGGGGGACCAGGAAGGGAGCAGCCAAACTGCTCTCAGCCATTGCCAGAAATGGGGTCTCAAAACCAGCTTCTTTGTCTTCCACAAAGACCAGTGATGGGCAGGGTTGGGTGACTCAGTGAATCCAGACTGTTTCCTCCCTTTTCTGTCAGGAATCAATGCTGTCCCCTTAGGCGTTAAATGAAGAGAAAGTGCTGCTCTTTGCTCTTTCTGAAACTCTTTCTTTTTTTAAGACTCCTTTAACACAGGTCATCACCTGCCCCCATAAAGTCTATTGCTTTTAACTTCTTTTTAGTGCCAAACTTTCACTGAAATGCTTGGGAGGGGAATGGCTTTCCGATGAGGAAGTGTGTGATTTCAGTTTAGAATTCCATCCTCAACTAAGTAGATTGACGGAAAAAAACAGTACTTTTGTAAATTTTGTGTTTGTATTTACAATTTCGTTCTTTCCCCATACCTCAATCAATTGGAGCTGTGGTTTGGAATAGTGCAGAGCAAATAAGTTATTGTTCACTTAGTGATTACAAAAGTTGTACATCGGCTGGGATATTTAATGCTTTTTCAGAATTAAATGTAAACTATACTGCTTTTAAAAAAAGAGAAAATGTTCTTAATGTGGAAAATCCAAATATGTTGAAAAATATGAAATCAAAACATTCAGTAGTTGGTTTGTTGGGGTTTTTTTGGTGGATCACTTTTTCTGTTGAATGAAGTATGAAGGTGACAATGAGTGAAACTTGTGATACACCTTCAGGGGATGGGGTGAGGCGAGTCCCATGGAAGGAATGATGGGCAGTGCTTTCCCTTGTGAGCTCCTCCTACTCTCAATGACAATTTCGTTCTTTCCCCATACCTCAATCAATTGGAGCTGTGGTTTGGAATAGTGCAGAGCAAATAAGTTATTGTTCACTTAGTGATTACAAAAGTTGTACATCGGCTGGGATATTTAATGCTTTTTCAGAATTAAATGTAAACTATACTGCTTTTAAAAAAAGAGAAAATGTTCTTAATGTGGAAAATCCAAATATGTTGAAAAATATGAAATCAAAACATTCAGTAGTTGGTTTGTTGGGGTTTTTTTGGTGGATCACTTTTTCTGTTGAATGAAGTATGAAGGTGACAATGAGTGAAACTTGTGATACACCTTCAGGGGATGGGGTGAGGCGAGTCCCATGGAAGGAATGATGGGCAGTGCTTTCCCTTGTGAGCTCCTCCTACTCTCAATGAGGAGACCCCAAGGTTTGCAGGAGGGGAAAGCAAAGGAGACCAGTGTAGAACTGGAATCCTGCAGCTCGTACAAGGGCTATGAGGTGGAGGGAGGAGCACGCAGCACCCAGTGATGCCTTCAGGGTCGGAGAAAGAAGAATTTCCTGGGGACTGGGCAAAGTCACTTGTAAATCAAAAGCTCCTGAGTCTGCTGGAACCAGGCATGGAGGCCAGGACCTGTCTGTACAGACACAGTGGGCGAGGTTAGAGGTGTAAGTGTCATCTCTATTTCAGTTCTGTCCAGCTTTACTGATATTAAAAGAAAAATAACAATAATAAGGGAAAAATTATTTAATAGTTTTTCTGGAGGTTATCTCTCTAATATCTATCTTCAGTTGCCTGATGCATATTTTAATCTAGAATGGAAGTAAAGTTCTCGGATCCAAACTTTGCAAATATCTCAACTAAGGGAAAAATTATTTAATAGTTTTTCTGGGCGTTATCTCTCTAATATCTGTCTTCAGTTGCCTGATGTATATTTTAATCTAGAATGGAAATAAGGTTCTCGGATCTAAACTTTGCAGCAAATATCTCAAACTTTTCCTGTCTCATGATGCTTTGTTCATAGGGCTGCAGTTCTAGACACTTTATGCTGGAACTGAGGCAGACTCTCTTTTGGTGTGGAAAGATTGGGGTTTTTCCTCCTACTCCTAATGGGGGGCTGGTACTTGTTGCCCTGGCACTTTTTGGGGTGAGGGGAAGACAAATTTTGGTCATCAGAAAGGTTCAAAATTAAACACTTTCTAATAAAACCCATGCAGACAAGGTCCTCAGATGTTGCAGCAGTTACATCTGATGGCAAATTTGAAGGAATGCACATATTCATTATTGCTAAAACCAAACAGCAAAATTTCTCAACCTTTAGATCTAGACCTTGGCACTAGGAAAAATCTCAGAATAAAATTATAGTTAGAGTTGCAAATTAAATAAGTTGGATCAAACACACTAGGTTGAACTTGGTTCCTTTGGATAACACAGGTGGAATTAGATTTTCTTTTGTGGATCTTGGGGAAAAAATAAGACTAATTCCTAAATTCCATATGAAGATGTACATAGATTTCCTTCCTTTTCATAGCCTTTTGGGATTTTACTTCACACACCCATCTTTTCCTGAATCCTGCAGGTTTCTTCTGTCTCAGGTTCTGGATACTGAGTATTCACTTCCCTGTAGTAAGGAAAGACTTATCTTGTTTCTGACTTTCTGGGGAATTTTTAAGTTCTTGTTATGTATATGATAAGAGATAAGATATTAATGCTCAAAGTGGTCATAAAATATCCTGTCTTTGATTCAGATTTACCTCCTCTATTTAAAAGATAAGGATCGAAACACAAGCTCTGAGTGTGAAGTTGACATATTCATGTGCAACTATCACATCTCAAATATCAAGCCTACAATCATTACAAAAAACTACAATGTAATTCTAATTGGCCTTAAGCCATTGCCCCCCAAATTACCTGTGATATTAGAATTACACTGCTCTCTAGGGATGCTTAGATGTCCACCTCAGATCGTGCTTCCAAACCCTGGCTTTATCAATAATAAAGGAAGCTTTTTTCTTTTCTTTTGTAGGCATGAGGTAGAGTTAGGACAGGCTTAACAATGTATCTGGCTTGAATCTAACTATTAACGTGATTCTGGCATTGAATGTAACTATTAACATGATTCAAGAGAAAACAGCCTCCTTTGAAAATCTTCAAACTTCTGTAGATCTTTCAATGAAAAGTTCCAGTTATCTTTATCTTAATACATTCCTTTTGAAACCTTGAAGATCTTAATATTTGGCCTGAAAATAATTTGGTTTCACGTTATTGTGAGTGTGTTTAAAATAGTGATGCTCAACAAAGAGAGGGCAGGGGATGGTTTGAGCCACCCGTGCCCCTGGTTCTGGGCTGCGATGGGGCCACAGCCAGGAGGGGGCACAACAAACAGCTTTTCCCCTTAACCCTTTGAAAAGTTGATGGCATAATCAGAGCAAAATTATGCAGGGTTTCATCCAGAACCGTTTTATTGCACTTCTAACGTACGAGTGAAAGGGCGGCAAAGAGCCTCTGTGTTACATAATGGGAGAAATAAATTTTAATTTTCTTTTCCCTTGCATCTTTTTGCATCTTCAAATGGTACTTACGACTTAAAATGTCGGAATAGTTTTCCTTTGATTATAATCAAAACCAACGACTTAAAATGTCGGAATAGTTTTCCTTTTATTATAATCAAAACCAGTTTTTCTAGGTTTTGCTAGGTTTTCTATAAAAACTTGTTTCTTGTATGTTGTTGATGTGGAATAATACCAAAGTTTGCTTGTTGTGCGTATGGCCTGTGGGCACAGCATTCACCCCCGAGAGGTGGAATCGCATCTATAGGTCCCGAGGATATATAAGCTCAAAGTAATTGTTAGATATGACTTTTTTTTTTACTTTGGGTAAGACTTTTAGTGCATCGGGCAATTAAGCATTTGCGTGCACCAAGTGTGCGCTCAACTGCTTGTATAATTTGCATGAATAGCTGGTTGCACACATAAGTACATAATTAATTAGCTGCCTGTGCTATTAACTGCTGGGGACGTACAGCTCTGTCACTTTGCTTTTTAGGAGTATTTGGGAGACATTTTTTGTGCTTGTCGGGTACACGAGTAGAGAAAGAACAAACAGTAAATATGGCACTTTATGTGTATACATATGATCCATACAAAGCTGTTGTCTTCCTAAACCAGTAGCTGCTGTTTTAAAAGTACTACTTAATTGCAAAATGTAGAAGAACCATTTTCAATCAACTTCTCCTCATGCTGACCTGTAAATCCAGTGCTGCCATGTGCGACTTCAGCTCAGCTGTTTAAACCTTAGTAA